GTGTTTTTGTGATCCACATGACAGTATATTGCATTTTAGTAAAATGCGAAATGTTTGAAAGCAAAGTTAACTTTTAAAAACTTGAATGATGAAAACTTTAACAGTAAGTAATGGAAAGTTCTATGGTATTTAAAATTTGATTTTGTCAGTTTTTGTCTATTGTCTCTTATTTTTTCTTCTAGTCTGTGTAATGTAAATTGTGTTTTTTATTTAAATTGCAAGGACCAAAAGTCACCTACATACCCCCTCCTCCACCTGAGGACGAGGACTCCATCTTTGCACATTATCAGACAGGCATAAACTTTGACAAATATGACACTATTCTTGTAGAAGTGTCAGGACATGATGCACCACCAGCAATTCTGGTCAGTTATTAATTGTTTCTGTATTGACTATATAGCAAATTTTGCTTTTAAAATATATGGTATATTTAAGTTGATATCAACACAGAAATTTCACCTTCAGTATCTAATGTCTTAGGTTGGATATTAGATACTAAATGTAGATGTCTGCCATCTACAGTAGAATTAATTACTACGTCAAAAGAGAGAGTATTAGATTTCATCCTCACTCCCCATACCAGGATGAGAACTTTGTTTAAATTTACTAAAAAAGATACTTTTCCTAGATTAAAGTTGTTTGCTTCCTAAGTATGTGAGAAGGTGTGTCTTAGGGGAGTGATTTTTTTCTAAGCGCAGTGGGGGAGCCCTGTCCTGTGTTGGAATTATATTTATAATGAGCTGTTGTTACTGATTAGAGTTTTTCATATCTTGTTGAAATATTATAAAAAATTTTTATTTCTCATCTTAAATTTACCGGCAAGCTGGAAGCAGAATCTAAAGGCTGTGGGATTAGGAGGAATAGCTTTCCACAGGACAGAAGTGATGCACTATAAATTTGTTTTTAAGTTTTAAGGGGTCAGAAAAAATGGTGGTTTTTAGAACCACTGTTTATGGGGAATACTTCCTGATTCTATCGAGTTGTAATATACAGGCTCTGGATATTTACTTTTGAATGGGGACATATTGGTAAAGTAACATTAGTATATAAAGTGGAATTAACTTGAAACTAGTTCAGATGGAATGTGTCTATAAAATGATCTGCACATGATATATGGAATTTAATCACTGCTTTTTTCTTTTTAGACTTTTGAAGAAGCTAATCTCTGTCAGACACTGAATAACAATATTGCTAAAGCTGGTTATACTAAGCTTACTCCTGTGCAAAAATATAGTATTCCTATTATATTAGCAGGACGAGATTTGATGGCTTGTGCTCAAACAGGGTCTGGGAAGACTGTAAGTTATTTTCCCACATGTATCCTGCCCCATATCCAAACTGTTAGGTTTATGGAACTTTGGGTTTTCCTAAATAACTTGAATCTCTTTTGTTAGATAGAAGGTTTGTAGATGATTTCAATGACCTGTCATAAGTGTTCATGTTTTTGCATTCGATTTCTAATTTTATTGGGGTTTGTATACTTCTGAAGAAAGGATTTTGAACTATTTCTAGGGTAGTGTTATAGTTCATAGATGTTTAAACTGTTTATAAGTGTGTTCAACTCTTTTTGAAACATGGCAGTGTCTAAAACAAAATACTGAAAGTCAAAGTAGCAAAGATTATAAAGCATGGGGGAGGGAGAAAATAATTTCTGTAATATAGCTGATACAGTCTTAGAGTCAGAAGATAAACAGCTATTAATATATGCGTTGTACATGGTCCTTAGTATGAAGTGACCTCAGGTTCTAAAAGAACTCTGATGAGACTAGGTTGGTCTTAGGATTAACCTGGAGGTTTAGTCTGTTAAGTAGCATTCCATGAGATGAGACTATTCCCAGGGTCATAGAGTCCTGGTTCATACCATTTTAGTCTTAATCAGTCTCCATAGTAGAATTGAAGGGAAAATAGGTGAACTGTATAATATAGTAGCTGATGAGAGTTATACATGGTTTTGGAGTTAGATTTTAGTGTCTTATTTGCTTAAATGAGAAAACCATAGCACAAAATTTGTCTCGCCAGGTGTAACTTCAATAAGAATGGTGTGTTTAGTAATCCCAAATGATGATATCCAGATTTTT